TTGATTCTCTATTCAGGAGGAAGAGCTCCGAGCACGCAAAAGAGAGCAGCTTATGCAACAGAGCAGAAGAGAGGCTCAACTTTCCAGGTTGAGATTTGAAGAAGAACGTATGAAGGTAAGAGATTCAATTGTCTAGATTTAGCTATTTCATCGCGAAAGTTATTAACTTAGGATCGTTGTTTGATTAGGCTCAATGTCGAGTGGGGAGGGGAGGGGGGGCAACAGGCGCGCGGGCTCATGTCCTTAATAACGGGCTTTTAATTGAACTCGCTGTTGAATTAAACACTAAGGGCCGGTTGTTTGAACAAAGTTTAGCCGTTGTATAACTAAACTGTGTCCTAAAACAATCCTCAAGTGTTGTTAGTTCAAGGATGAAGAAAACCTTAAACTGTAGTGACGTCTTACCGTTAATTGCAGTAATGTGAGGTAGGTGTAGATTATCATGATCTGCGCATGTTCCAGATATTTCCAAGGAGATTTACACAGCTCTTTCAATTAAGTTTGAATTGCATTGCAGCGTTCTTCCAACCTTTCAAGAGATGGCTCAAGCAAATCAGTAAGACGCTAGTTTTCTCTTAATAATTTTTAAATAAACAAATTGTTCTTCTTGACATAGCTGTCTCATTAGAATGCTAGCACGTATCACTTATTATAAACAAGAACAAAGCTTTCAATGCAACAAATATAAACAAATTTAAACCTGTGAGTGCTATCAAAATTGTTGGTTGGTAAGCCATAAACAAGGTTATCGGGGAAGATGTGTGAGAGTTTGCTCTTAATGTCCTTTATCGAAGCAAAGACCTCCAGATACTTTCGCTTGCATTTGCCACAGCATAGCCAATGGGTCTCATCTTCGGGGCCTGGAAGACCTGTGGCTCTGTGGCCACTCAGTGAATGGAGTGCGTGGGCAATGTACAGATAGTTAGGGTTGGAGGAAGCTTATGCACGATGTTGCTTCAAAAACGGGGTCACGATAGGGGAATAAAGGGCAATCACGCCCGTAAAAAGTTATCCCAGCACTTTTGGCTTGATCCCAGGGATGCGAGCGGCCTACTACTAGCACCCGTGCACACAACTTTCTATAAGATGATAACAGTTTAAGGAAGTTTTGAGGTGTTAAAAAGTGAGCGAGGAACTCAGATGGTGAACACCCACTCCAAGTTTTGTGGAGGAGGTAGTTGTCTAATAGACGTGTCCATTAGGAGAGATTACACAATAATTTACCATCAAACAATTTGTTGTTTGATTCATTTTATAGAGATTTAGTGGCAAAAGCAGTGCTGCAACTGTTTCTTTTAACGGTAGTGAAGCACCTTCCCAAAATGATGGCGGTGTGCAAGATAGGGAGGCATGGGAGGTAAGA